TTCAAATAAAAGTACTATGGGGAGAAATAAAAAAAAATAGGTCTCGTAAGTCTTCCTTTTAATAAGCTCTGTTTAGCGAAGACAAACCGATGAGAAATTAACGATGCGCAAAAAGTCGAGTTGGCAATCTCATAATCGTCAATCTCCCCTGGCACGCATACGTTGTAAACGTAATACTTGGGACAATCGAGAGACGTTCTAGTGGTGATGGCAGAAAATAGAGTGACAAAAGCTGAACAAAGAAAGAGAGAAGCGCGGACGTGAAAGATAACAGCTCACCGATCGATCGATCCCGCCGGAGCTTTTGTTCGTCTACGTGGCTTGCTATCCGATTTAACTACGAATACTCGCTGGAAGGAGGCGTATCGAGGCGTTCCGGTAAGAAGCGGCTTTTATCTCCCGGTTAAGCTAAAGTGCACGAAAGCGCCGCGCGAAAGTTGGGGGAGGGGAATCTTAAGCGTGCAGATGCACGCGCGTAAGTATTACATAAAGAAATTATCGTAAGTACATTTTTACCGGGGAAGAATCTGATTCGGATTGATCTGGAGACTTCATTGATCATAAGAGAAAGACGTAGATATCTAAAATTTTTATATTCGACAGAAAATAACGAAAGATAAGTCTGTAATAAATGTGGCATACATTTAAAGCATAATTAATTTGAGGATTAAAAAGAATTACTTAAGAAATCCAGAGTGTTGTAGGATATTCTGTATAATCCGTAGAGGAAAAAGAAAATCGTTAGAATATAAAATAATACTAAAAATTTAGCTCACCTAAAATATGTACGTCATACGCGTATTTTGCAAGTATTAACGTTTCATTCAGCTGAAAAGATCATCATATCAATCCCATCGCGGGTAATATTTCTCGCTTCAGTGACGGCAGGGGAAATGATGAGAAGTATGAAGAAATCCCGCGGAAAACGTAATGCGCGATTAAACGCTCGCGTAAATACGTGTTTACGCGCGGGGATACGCACAGTAGTCAGTCTCGGCGTATTTGTAGCCATGGTTGCGACAGCTATTGAACTATTACACGCTTAACTGGAATGGACTGACTGCAGTGGCGTGCCTTGCTGCTCTCGGTGCGTGCGCTCGGTGTCACGACCTCAAGCGGGTAATCCCCATACGAATCCGAGAAACACAGAACACGGTACAACTCTGTTTAACCCGTCAACGTTCACGTTGTCGACTCAGCGTAGCTCGACTCAGATTAAAGTAATTTCTCTTCCACACGGCGATATTATAATACGCGGCGAATTAATACGCGCGATCGAGTTACGAAAACATAGATTATTTTTTAAAATAATTTACAAAATTTACAAAAGAGTTTCTTCTCGTATCACGAAGAAATAAAAAAAATTTCGCTCTATTGTTAAAATGGAATTTAATTTCTCGATGGAATTATAATTAAAATATTGTTGAATGACCTAGAGAGAGCGTTTATCTTTATTATGTAATATCGCTCACATTCACTATGTATCGGAGCAATCACGACTAAATGAAAGTAGATGCGCTGGCATATTATACATTTGAGATATGACTGCAGCGCTCCATGCAATATTCCATAAATATTTCAGGATAATTGCAGGAACAATTAAGAGATTTCTGTAAACTGAACATAGAGCTAATTAATAGCTAGATTAAGACCGATTAAGATAATTTCCGCGACGACATTTAAGCAGAGGAAATAAATTTGCCAGACGTAGCTGTACTCCACTTAGGAGTATAACGCTTGGCGAGCGTAACGAGCGCCGTGTTTGTCATTAATTAAGTGCTTCTTACGCCGACTGCGACTGCAGAGGTGGGATTAGGGGCAGGGCGGGGAGAGTCCTTTGGAGAAAAAAGTCTTTCGCAGCAAGCAGAAACCTATAACGAAGTTACGCCACTGTCGATGTTCGAAACGTTCGGAGGGTGCGAGTGTCGCGCGGGGGTTGGTTATTTCACGGTCCACTCGCTCTACTCACACCCCTCAGAGGCGGCGGCGGCGGCCCCTTTCCCAAATCCACCCCTAAGAATTAATTCGAGAGAATCGTCCGGCGGCCGACCGACAGCCACTCCTACCTTTTCGAGCGCCCTCGGATCGTCTTCCTTCCCTCCTCTTGGATCCTTCTTCTTTCCCGTTGCCTTCCTTCTGCCTCCCGTTCGCGTCGATTTGACTTTCTTCTGACTCCTGCTTCGATAATACTGTCGTTTCGACAAAAGATCCAACGGAAGAGTGCAGATAAGAGTGAAAAAATGAGTAGGTTTGAAAATTTGTCCAAATTGCCCTTTCATTTTTCCGAAAAAAACTTGTCTTTGTTTCTCATAAAGTATGATTAACGTATCGTAAAAAAAATTCTCTACTGAATTAAAACAAATGCGAGTAATTATTTCGACTATTATAATTTCGCTTAAATGCTTAGACGTTTTTTCAAGTTTTTAATTAATGTCAACTATAAAAAAGTGTAAGACGAAGTTTAATGTTTTTTGCAGCCGATGAATCGACTTATACTTACCTTTATTTATATATAAAATGAAAAAAATATTCTTCTAAGAGGGCTCAGTTACTTTTCAGTCGATCCAGCAACAAAGGACTCTCGCAGTGATTAGCTTCAGCATTTAAACAACATTTAACAAATTTAGGAGTCACTTTGTCCTCTCCTTTAATGTAAAGGGAGTGCCTTTATCTTCAATTCATAATTAAGACGCACATAAGCGTGTGGTCAACTTGCCGACGACGCGTGTCGCGCAGCCCGGCCGGGTTTAGTTTCTAATTTGAGCATCAAAGCAAGGCGCGAGCAATTTTCCGTCAATTGAACGTGGCTGTTTCTGGAAGCCGCGAACAAGGCGGCATTATACGGCCGGAATTACGCGTGGAGGACCGCGGTGCGGATTTCGCGAAGATCTGCGTCTCTCAAAGACCGGGTAACGTAGAGACTAGCATCCGGCCATCTAATGGCTCAGTTCACTTAGCGCGTCTTCTCGCTCTCGTCCTTTCCCCAGCGTTTTCTCTTTATCTTTCGCGAAAAAACGAGAATCACTTTTTTTCTCGTGTTCAAAATCAGACGGGCTATCGAGAGAACGACAGACGAGCGATCGCCGCTCGTTAAGAGTTGATAAAGGGAAATTAAAAAAAAAAAAAAAAAAAAAAAAAAAAAAAAAAAAAAAAAAAAAAAAAAAAAA